ATAATTAACAACATTAACAACAAAAAACAAGGCGCACCGAAGCACCGTGGCAGCCATCGTCGGCGCCATCTTGGAGCACCGAGGGGAGGCAGATGTAGTGTGTGTGTGTGTGTGGCCGTGTGATGTCGGAGTGAGAGAGCATAATTAGGGTGGATGCTAACAGGGTTGCGTCTGCTCCACCTCCTCGTAGCAGCGTTTCTCCCTCGGTGGATGGTTTCTGTCGTTGTCGTTATTGTTGTTTCTAATCAGGGCGTAGTACTGCAGAGAGCACTTTACCGATGGTCACACAACGCTGTGACCTTTTCCATGCAACTAACATATGGACCTGAACCAGGATCTTCTCTTGATTATCTATTATAGTACTTTTGTACTGTACTCCTTCCTTTCTTCCTTCCTTCCCTCCCTCCTTCCTTTCTTCCTTCCTTCCCTCCCTCCTTCCTTTCTTCCTTCCTTCCCTCCCTCCTTCCTTTCTTCCTTTCTTTCTTCCTTCCTTCCCTCCCTCCTTCCCTCCCTCCTTCCTTTCTTCCTTCCTTCCCTCCCTCCTTCCTTTCTTCCTTCCTTTCTTCCTTCCCTTCTTCCTTCCCTTAAGTGCAGCTCAAAGTCTTAAATCTTTCTCATCAGCTGTTAGAGTGGAGCTTGCATCTGTGATGTCTGTGAACAGACTTAAAGAGTCATTAAGATGAAATGTCTGTATATAAGTTAGGAGTTATTATTTCTTTATATATGATTCATGTTGCTGGTAGAGCTTCACTGTTTGGACCATTTGGATGTCTTTGGTATCGAGTCTCTGTGACGTAAACGCTGTGTCTTACTAGTTTTCCTCCTGCCTCAATTAACTCTACTGTCACTCCAGATCCTGTCACCAACAAGAAATCATCTCGTTGTCTTCACCTGGGCCTCATGTCCTCCCCACCTGCAGCCCACTCCCTCATCAGTCCCTCACGATTTAGGTCCCCACACTTGCATTTGCCATCAGATTGTCTTGTGGGCCAAGTTGTCCAGCGGTCCTCGATTAACCGGATATCCTGGTCTGCCTTTTGGACCACGGACTCCCTGCCCGCCCCTCTTTGGATTTGTTCACCTGTCTGGTCGCCATCATGGTTCTGAACCTCGCCTACTCTCGTTTACGGATTCCCTGCCTGCCCCTCTGGGTTTGTTTGCCTGTTGGACTGATATCCTGGTTTTGACTCTGACTGAACTAGTAAAGACCTTTGATTGGATTTCTGTTTCTGAGGTTGTGCTTTTGGGTTCTAACACCTGTAACACAAACACGCTGAAGATATGGAGCCTTGGAAGTAGAGCCCCCCCCCATCGGCGCTCTTTACTAATGTTATGTCATTTTATTCAATTTTCATACATTGAGATTTTTTTAAATTGAATTAAGGGTTTTTATTAACATGAATGGCATAATTCTGACATCTTATTTTTCAGCAGACTGATGTTCTCCGTCCTCCAAATCAGCTCAAGGTGACTCTCTCACACACACACACACACACACAGCTACAAACACACAACCTGCTGCAGAAAAATTGATTTGAATGTGAAATATGATTTGAACACAAAGGTTTTAGATTGATTAGCATGAGCAGATAATGCTGCTCTCACACGAGACGCACACACACACACTGCTACACACACTGCTACACACACAGCTACACACACAGGAGAGATGACTCAAGATAAATACAATTATTCAGACACAAGATTAGATCATATCTGGATTTGTGATTAAAACGTCTTTGTTCAGCTCGCTCACACACAGCGAATCCGGAGGGAGTGAAGGGAAAGAAGGAGAGGAGAGGAGGGGGAGGAGGGGGGAGGATTGATGGGAGGAAAGGAGAGGGAGGGAGATAAGGGAAGGAGCGATAGCATGAGCAGGGGGGTGAGGGAGGAGGAAGCAAGGCGACAAAGAGAGGGATTAAGGGGGTGAAGATTGTATTGTCTTCTGAATACTTAAGGATGCGTGAGATTAAAGCTGCGCTGCCAGCTGACAGATTTCACTGATATTAATTGTTGTTATTGATGTGTGTGTGTGTGTGTGTGTGTGTGTATGTGTGTGTGTGTGTGTGTGTGTGTGTGTGTATATATTATTCCTTTATAGCTTAATGTAAAGTCATTACCGTGGAGACCGTGGTGCAGGTTGACAGCATATCTACACACGCATGATGTAGCAGAGTTAGCTGTCACGCTAATGAACATGTTCAACATCCTGCAGCTGTTAGTTCATATTAAGTGTTACACACACACACACACACACACACACACACACACACACACAGCTGGTTTCTCCCTCCTTCATGATCCACCGTCACAATGTGTCACACTGTTATAAAGGTACTCAAGTTGTTTTATCCACTTCATAATCAACGTGAAATAACGAAATATCTTCCAGAGACCTGAAGGAAGACGTCTGCTTGAAGAGAAGAAAATGAAATTACTTCCTCTCATGTCGGCATGAAAACCAAGATGGCGGTGACATAAAAACAGGTTCCCCACCATGGTAACAAACACCAATGGGTGATGTCGCTGTGACTGTACGTCACTTCTCATCTTCCGTGTATTTTTTTAATTTATCGTGCGTCACTTCCTGTTCCTGAGGTGTGTAGACTTCATCCTCATCCGGATCTTCATCATTATCTTCCTCTTCATCCTCATCTTCAGGGGTAGAGGCAATAGGTCTGTAGACGTCAACATGGTCCTCCACTACATCCTCCAGCATCTGGACTCCCCAGGAACCTACGCCAGGATCCTGTTTGTGGACTTCAGCTCTGCCTTCAACACCATCATCCCGTCTCTGCTGCAGGACAAACTCTCCCAGCTGCACCGCCCGACTCCACCTGCAAGTGGATCACAGACTTCCTGTCTGACAGGAAGCAGCACGTGAAGCTGGGGAAACATGTCTCAGCCTCTCAGACCATCAGCACCGGTTCCCCCCAAGGCTGCGTTCTTTCCCCTCTGCTCTTCTCCCTGTACACCAACAGCTGCACCTCCACCCACCAGTCCGTCAAGCTCCTGAAGTTTGCGGATGACACCACCCTCATTGGACTGATCTCTGGTGGGGACGAGTCCGCCTACAGGTGGAGTCTGACCATCTGGTGTCCTGGTGCAGCCACAACAACCTGGAGCTCAACGCTCTAAAGACAGTGGAGATGGTTGTGGACTTCAGGAGGAACAGAGCCCCACCCTCCCCCATCATCCTGTGTGACTCCCCCGTCACCACTGTGGACTCCTTCCGTTTCCTGGGCTCCATCATCACCCAGGACCTCAAGTGGGAGCTGAACATCAGCTCCATCACCAAGAAGGCTCAGCAGAGGTTGTTCTTCCTGAGGCAGCTGAAGAAACTCAACCTGCCAAAGACGATGATGGTCCACTTCTACACGGCCATCATGGAGTCCATCCTCTGCTCCTCCATCACCGTCTGGTACGCTGCAGCCACAGCCAAGGACGAGGGCAGGCTGCAGCGTGTCCTCCGCTCTGCAGAGAGGCTGATCGGCTGCAACCTGCCGTCCCTGCAGGACTTGTTCGCTTCCAGGTCTCTGAAGCAGCTACAAAGATGGTGGCCGACCCCTCTCACCCCGGACAAAACCTGTTTGTGCCCCTTCCATCTGGCAGGAGGCTGAGGTCCATCAGGACTAAGACCTCCCGCCACACCAACAGTTTCTTCCCGTCGGCAGTCGGGCTCTCCGTTCACACCACACATACGCTTTCAATTTCTGCTCGCTGGTGCACTTTATTTTTTACTTTTATTTTTAATTTAAATTCCTAAAATGTTGTTCTTGCACCATGTTGTCTTATCTGTCTTGTTGTCCGTTGTCTAACTGTCTCATGTTCGTCGTGGCGCAGGGGTTAGAGAAGGTGTGCCGGGAAGCACAAGGTTGGTGGTTTGATTCCAGGCTGCCCCATGTTCCATGTCGAAGTGTCCCTGAGCAAGACATGGGTTTAAAGTGTAATGTAAGTCGCTTTGGATAAAAGCGTCTGCTAAATGACCTGTAATGTGATGTAATGTCATGTTGTGCACCAACCACCAAGGCAAATTCCTTGTATGTCTGACATATTTTGGTAATAAATGTTCCTGATTCCTGAGCGGACAGATTTCTCTTCCTTCTCCTCTAATCATCTTTCGAAGTAACAAAGCCTGTTTTAAATCCTTTTCCTCTCGAGGGAGGAGGAGCTTTATTTGACTTCACGTCGACATAATAGGTTTATTACATCAAACCCATTAAATAATGACTTCATATCTATTTTGGTTAAACATCTAATTATTTAAGGGATTTATAAAGAAATAATGAAGTTTCTCTATTGGTGGAACTTTTGTTTGATACCATAATAAAAGTTTTTCGGATCATAAACATTAAGCGTTGACTGATGACGTCATATAGACATTTTGATATTTCAAGAAAAGTTAGAGAAAGACAGAATAATGTGGTAATATTTACACTAATATTAATAACATTTATTATATTTAATAAAAATGCCAGGAAGGTGGGAAGGGCAGGAAAGCAAAAGACTTTAATAGTCAAAAACACAGACGGGGACCAGGAACTCACAGGGTTCAACATTCAACAATCAACAATGAGGCACAGACACACGTGGCTTAAATACAGGGAGGTGCAGGTGATTGGACACAGGTGGAAACAATCAGACAATCACACACACACAGGGGATGACAGGACAAGACAGGAAGTGAAGTTACCAGAAACTACAAAATAAAACTGGACGTGAAGCCAAACCGTGACAAAAAATCTTATTACACTCAGAGGACGTTGATTTAAAATGCTACATATCAAAATAAAAACAAAGATCAGCTAAACGTAAGTTGATCTTGTTCTCTCATCTTTAATTATGTTTTATTAATTAGGTATTCATTATCGTTTTCATTTAATACGTTGCATTAAACCGGAGAGGGGCGGAGTCGGGTGGTGGCGGTTCCGCCCTCTGATTGGCCACAGGGTCCACTGTGTTAATGTGGAGGGCGTGGCCTGCAGCCGGGGATGCTGCGCTGCTGAGATCTGCCTCATTGTGCCGCCTCGACCCGGACCGGACCCACCGCGCTGGATTAATACCGGAAGCGGCGCCAGGAGGATTTTCTCTCCGGTTGGGTCCCGTTTCCTTGAGGAGATTCCCGGAGCGGGTTACCGGGAGCGCGCGCTCCGCTCGGCGAGGTGAGTTTCTTCTTCTTCTGCCCGCAGGAAGCCTCGCGGCTCCGCGCCGCCCGCTGCGCGCGTGCGTGCGTGCGCGCGCGTGCGTGGCGCTTAATGGTAAAGCAGCGGGACGCGGGGCAGGAGGTCTGTGTTTATCTTCTGCTCTTAGTTCAGATGGATGGCTGTCAACAAGCCGCCAGAGATGTGTGTGTGTGTGTGTGTGTGTGTGTTTGTGTGTGTGTGTGTGTATGTGTATGTCTATGTGAGTGTATCCGCCTCCTCCTCATCCTCACTGCTTCCATTCTCATCATACTCATCCCCGGATACACATCACTGTGATTCCCATTTTCAGATTCCCATTTGGATCTGATCCTAATCCTCACCCCTCATCAACCGCATCATTAACAAGGGGTTCTGATCGAGGTCTGAAGACTGATGTGGGGTCTATATCGAGGTCTGAAGACTGATGGGTGTCTGATCGAGGTCTGAGTACTGATGCGGGTCTGATCGAGGTCTGAAGACTGATGGGGGTCTGATCGAGGTCTTAGGACTAATGGAGGTTCGATCAAGGTCTGAGGACTGATGGGGGTCTGATTGAGGTCTGAGGACTGATGGGGGTCTGATCATGGTCTGAGGACTGATGGGGGTCTAATCGAGCTCTTAGAGTCCTAAGACCTCGATCAGACCCCCCATCAGTCCATCACCCCCAACCAATGGAGGTTCGATCAAGATCTGAGGACTTACGGGGGTCTGATCGAGGTCTTAGAACAGGGTCTGATTAAGGTATAGGTACTGATGGGGGTCTGATCGAGGTCTGAGGACGGATGGGGGTCTGATTATGGTCTTAGGACGAATGGAGGTCTGATCCACCACACCGTCAAGACCGGACCGCGGACCGCGGCAAATTTCAAATAAAAAGACGGTAGAAAGAAAGATGGTGAAATTTGAGAAAAAGACGAATGAAACGGAGAAAGTGAGAGAAAGAGACGGGTGAGAAACATGAGGAACAAAAGGACAGAGGAAGTAGAGCATTTAATCCTCAGTGGACGGACTGGTTTCTGTTCATACTGAACCAGCGTCCCACGAGCTCAGAACCCGTTGAAACGCCATCATGAGGCGCAATGAGCTCCTCCATCTGAGGAGGAGAACCTGATGCATTAAGACCAGGTTTAACATCCTGGCGTCTTAATTCTCCCACTTACCAAAAAAGTGGGGGAGCGTATTATATATATATATATATATATATATATATATATATATACATATATATTCTATTCAACTGTTGTTAAGATGTGTTGCTGACTCTGTCAAGTCCAAATGGGAAGCAGAAAATGGGAAATTCAAGCTTTTCTTCCCGTTATTTTATTTTTTCTGAATTGAAGCACTTTATCATGAACGTTGACCGATGACGTCATATAGACATTTTGATATTTCAAGACAAGTTTAAGTTCGAATAATGTGCTAATATTTACACTAATATTAATAACATTTATTATATTGAGTTAAAATGTCTGGAAGGGGGAAGGGCAGGACCCAGACGAGCAAAAATCCAAAATCCGTGTGAACTAGAGCTGCACGGCGTGGCCACAAATCCCTATCAGGGTATTTAGAAGGATTCTGACGGCATGTGACGCCATCGCTTTCCAAGTAAAGAAACGGATTCATTGACCCTGAAACGGGCCGCGGCCACCCGAACAGCTGTTCGTCATTGGCCAACTGGCCGGCGGGTTAGCGTGCTAGCGTGTTAGCTCGTTGTGGCTGCTAGCAGTGCCACCAGAGGCGCCACAGACTTTGCAACACATCGTTTTCTGATTTAACTTACAACCAAAAAGCCTCCAAACAGACTGGACTCTTCTGTTGGGCCCAAGTTGTGTTGGAGCATCTCTGGTCTCCTTGTTCCTCCTTGTCGCTCTTTTCCCTGTTTCCATGTAGCAGCAGTTACTTCTTGTTGTGAGCTTTACCCTACTTTTATTTAGTTAATTGGACATTATTTATATCTGCAGTCACGCACATATATTAGGACTGTCAACGAATGGTCTATATTTGAATATATATTCAAACAACTATTCCATGTGAAATGTGTCTGCTTAGTGCGCCTGCCTGTACTGACTATATATAGCATGAATAAAATAGACTACAACAGCTTCAGAACTTGATTATTATGTTGTTTCGTTTCATTGTTTACAGCTCAGATCGCTCGCTTCAACGTCGCTTCTGTAAAACCTTCAGTTTCAATCTCTGAATGAAGCCTGACATGTGGGACAAGAATCACCACCTTAAATTGCACGAAACTCTTGATCAGCACTCGTTTATTGTTGTCGCTTTGCGAATATATATTCAAATATGTGTTTTTTAAAGCAAATATTCATATTTTTGAGCAAATTGAGCCCATATATATGTTCAGTTTTAGAATCATACTGAATTAATTTGATCTGTTAGTCGTGTATTGATTAAATGCAAATGTTGATAGAACTCTTCCTCTGCTTAATCACACTAAGTAGTCACATTATGATCTTCTGGACCTTTGCTTCTCTAACTGGACCTCTTTTTAGTTAGGACCTCTGGTCTAGAGGATGCTGCTGATCTGGATTTCTGAGCGAGGACTGATGGAAGTCTGGAGGACCAGTAGAGATCTGAAGAATTCCTTGTGGTCTGCAGGACTTGGTCTGCACCTCCTTTTCTTCACATTTCTCGTGGATTTAAATTCTGGTGATTCTTTTGTTCTGAGAGAAGAAGGATGTTTATGAGGCTCCAGGTTCTGATCCTGATCTGCTTTGTGTTCAAGTTGACGGTCATGTGATTAGATCAGGTACAAGGTCCAAGAATAAACATAACTATAAACTAATAGACATGACAAAACATGTGGATCCTCGATCCGGTTCTGACCCGGTTCTTTGGACCGACTCAGATCTTTAGTCTCCACGTCGAGGCCACTTGGGGGTTCTGATTTTCGGTCTTTCTTCCGTTTCCATCTCGGTTGTTTTGGGGCTCTTTTGAAGAAAAAGACGGTCTATATTATTATTGATCTGTTTAATGAAATGGACGTTACTTTTATCTTAGATCACGATCAATCTAATTACATCATAAAGTATTGATCCTGGAAACGCTCCATTCGCACTTCTACAACCTGGAGGTCCCATCGCACCGAGGAAGACCCTGATGAGACTCTAATCAGACCCTGGCCCCGATCGGACCTCGATTGGTCCCTAATCAAGACCCTGATCGGACCGCTGTCGAGGTCTGATGAGACCAATAAGAACACCGTCAACCCCAATTAGACCTTGATAAGACCTCCATTAGACCACGATTGGACCGGAAGTAGACCCTGATCAGACCCTGATGAGACTAATCAGACTACGAACAGACGTCGATCAAAGCTTGATCAGATCTTTATTGATTAGATGCAATAAGGGTTAAAGAGTAAACATCTCGGTTGGTCTAAATCAATGAATTATTGACGTCGGCGTCGAATCGATGCGTCTCGTCGTGAATCCATCGAGCGCGTGAGGACGTCGATTTCCTCCAGCGTGTTCAGAGCCGATAAACGAGCCGATGAGTTCAGCGTTTAAACATAAACGGGTGAAAAGCGTAAAAACGCCTCTGAACGCAAATTCAGAGGACATCGATCTTTTATTCAAAAAGAGCAGGAAAGATGTTTATTCAAGAAGAACAAATCGTTTTACATATTAAAGAACTCAAGAATAGAATCAAACTCTAACTCTAGTCGGCGACAGGAATCCGAGACGCTAACATCATGAACCCGGATCCCAACACGCACTCCGATGGAAAGCTCACAAAGCCAAACACAACTCCAACAATTACACACAAAATATCAAATGCAAATTTCAGCCCAAACTGAACAACTCTGAAAAAACTGAGAATAAATTATTATTATTATGAAACAAAAGCTTCAGGATGTGATTTCATGGGAGGCCATTTTCGCTCCGCACGTTTCCTCCTTTTAGCCGGCGCTCGATCCCATTGGCTCTGACGGTTCCACGGAGAGGCGGGACTTAGGAATCGGGGTAAACGGCACCTGGGAGATTTTGGGCTGTACAAAATAAAATGCATTGAATTGAATCTTTTGGGGGTAAAGTCCCTGTATATACTTACTTTTCTTTTTTGTTCTGTGTGCCATACAAATACACACATACATATATATATATAGATATACATATATATGTATATGTGTGTGTACATACATATGTACACACACACACATATATATATATATACTCATATTTTTACATCCAAGCTCACTTGCACTTTTCCCTTTTATCATAACAACCTTTGGTTTCATAAATATTCATTTTAAAGCAATAAGCCAATCCAATCGGTTCTGAACCTTAAGGTTCTGCTGCAGGTTCTGGGTCAGATTCTGGGTCAGGTCCGACGAGGAGGAACCAGATTCAATTATTTTGTGTAATGAACAGCGGGTACGCAGGGAGGGGCTCAGTGGGACCCAGTAAACCGGCAGGAGCAGGTCGACAGGTGACGGTTCCGACGGGTCCGCGTCTCCAACAGGACCCAAACATGTGATGTTAACTACACTTCAGGAGTCATGGGTAAATATACGGACCAGCCTGATGGGGTGTGTAGGGATGAGTGGATGGACACAAAGCGGGACAAACCAAGTAGACAGTGAACAGGGGGGAGTTTGGGCTCCGGGTTCGGAGGGGAGCGCTGCATCGTGACTATTTGGGTCCTGGAGGTCACGCTGTGTTTTTTGGGTTAAAATTTTCTTTTCTTTTTTCCATTTCTCAGTTTAGGAACCCAACAGATTGCATTCTGGGACAATTTAGTGAGCTGTCCTTTTTGTTACTAAAGAATATACGTTAATAAAGTTTATAAATGAAGAATCTATAGCAAGTTGTAGCTCTGCTTATTTGATGAAATTGCACTTTCTAGGTTTGTGTCCTTGTGGTTGGTAAGTGGCCATAATGTGATGTAATGTAAGATGAATCATCTTTAATGGGTGTTTGCTTGTAAACATTGTGATCTAGTTTCTCCCGTGTGGAGGTCAAAGGTCACACGTCTCTTTGTGTGAGAATATAAACCCGGATTACCCCCCCCGTCTAGACAGCCTCCTCTATTGTTCACTGTGGTGAGTTGGTTGCTGTGTGCTTTGTGCAACCTGACTGCGTGTGTGTGTCGTCTTTGGGGTGCGCTTGGCGATGTTGACCCGCGTGTCCCTGGTGGGTGGGTGCTGAGGAGAGAGCAGAAAGAAAAACGTTATTCCAGAGCAGCAGATCCATCGTGTTCCTCTGGAGAGCTGAGAGACCCTTTGTCCTCGTGTGTGTGTGTGTGTGTGTGTGTGTGTGTGTGTGTGTGTGTGTGCGTGTGTGTGTCTGTGTGTGTGTGTCTGTGTGTGTGTGTGTGTGTCTGTGTGTGTGTGTCTGTCTGTGTGCGTGTGTGTCTGTGCGTGTGTGTGTGTGTGTGTGTTTGCGTGTGTCTGTGCGTGTGTGTGTGTGTGTGTGTGTGTGTCTGTGTGTGTGTGTGTGTGTCTGTGTGTGTGTGTGTGTCTGTCTGTGTGTGTGTGTGTGTCTGTCTGTGTGTGTGTGTGTGTGTGTGTCTGTCTGTGTGTGTGTGTGTGTGTGTGTGTGTGTGCGTGTGTCTGTGTGTGTGTGTGTGTCTGTCTGTGTCTGTGTGTGTGTGTGTGTCTGTCTGTGTCTGTGTGTGTGTGTGCGTGTGTGTGTGTGTGCGTGTGTCTGTGTGTGTGTGTGTGTCTGTCTGTGTGTGTGTGTGTGTGTGTGTCTGTGCGTGTGTGTGTGTGTGTGTGTGTCTGTGTGTGTGTCTGTCTGTGTGTGTGTGTGTGTGTGTGTGTCTGTCCTCTGTGTTAACCAGCAGCAGACTTTAGTGGACTTTAGTCCTGGTCTTCTCTGGTCTGGTGTGTGAGTTCTTAGCGGAGACGTCAGCTAGAAGGTCCCTTTTATTTTGAAGTTGTGTTTTTAAAGTTGTTGTAAGTCAGACAGTAAAACTAGAACGTAATGTGTGAACCAGAAGTCCAAGTTTACTTGTTTCTACTTGATCGAGAAACCTCTCCTCTTACAGTCCTGGTTCTGGTTCCCCCAGGATTCCCCTCCCTCCAGCGGGTCCTGCACTGCATTGTGGGTCTCCAGAGAGCAGAAGATCTTCTACTGGAGGAGCCTCTCCAATGCTGGAGGAAGGGACTTTTATTTAGAAAGGGCCGTTTAATGGGTGCATTTCCGGGTAACTAGTCAGTCACCTTGTGAGACGTAGTGCAGACTGTGTAGTTCCACCCAGCGGGTCAAACAGATGCCCCCCCCAGGGGGTAACAGTACTGCGGTGGATCTGACAGCCCCCCTGCAGACCTCCTCTCATTACCCTGAGGAGGCTGCAGAGGGGAACTCTCAGGCTCCGGATTAGCTTCAGTCTGCTGGCCCCCCATGACGGATGAGGGCGGATTCCATTCAGGGGATTTACCACAGTGGTATTTGGACATTATTCAACTGTGAGTCTTCTCGTCCGGAGGTTTATAAATACAACACATTCAATTCATACGACAGGAATGATTCAAATAACAGCGAGTAGTAACCACGTGTACCGCAGGACCACTGCAGGGACCACCACCATCGCATAGAACCACCATCACATAGAACCACCATCGCATAGAACCACCATCGCATAGAACCACCATCACATAGAACCACCGTCAGATAGAACCACCGTCACATAGAACCACCGTCAGACAGAACCACCTAAAAAGCTAAAGAAGAAGAAGTAAATAGAAGAAGTGAGATTCTGTCTGTGTGTGTGTGCTAACGATGCTAATGGAAACAGATAGAGTTGAGTTTCAGCATGAGAACATGACGCCCCCATCCGACCATCAGTACGTTCTCGTCTGCAGCGCTGCAGGGGCTGCTGGGTAACGGCGTGGAGAGGCGTGTCAGCTGTGATCTTGAATAAATCTTTTTGTTGCACATTCAGATCAGAGAGTAACGAAGCGTCTGCAGAACCTCCTCCTTTGTCATGCAGGAAATCTACTCATGGTCATCTGATACCTAGTTAGTCAGTTAGTTCTCGAGTCTATGGCTAACAAGTCTGTGGCTAACAAGTCTGTGGCTAACAAGTCTGTGGCTAACAAGTCTGTGGTTAACGAGTCTGTGGTTAATGTGAGTTAATGTATATATATAAAATGTTTCCATGGTTGTGTGTTTATAAAATACATATATATATATGTGCCATATATGTATATATATATATAGAGAGAGAGAGAGAGAGAGAGATATCATCTATATGTGTGTATGTATATCTATATATATATATATATATGTACATGTATATATATATATATATATATATCATCTATATGTGTGTATATATTACTATACCACCTGA